TCCGAGTGACTTAGAAAAGACTTGCATTGAGTTTACTGGTCATTTTTAGAATTGAGGTATTTACAATAAGAAAGACCTGGCCAGCGTTTCCCAGTCTCCTAATAAGATCACCTTCACAAGTTTCTTTTCTCCCGCGCGCGCGTGTGTGTGTGTGTGTGTGTGTGTGTGTGTGTACACACACCTGGATGTGTGTGTGTGTGTACATACCTGGATGTGTGTGTGTGTGTACATACCTGGATGTGTGTGTGTGTGTGTGTACATACACCTGGATGTGTTTTAGTGGATTTTCTTTAAGATACATATTTAACAATTTAAATTGATCAGCATTTCAGCTCCTCACCAAGACAACAGAACTCATAGCCATAGTTCTGCCTTTGTGAATAAGTATTATGGAAAGTTTTACCCTAGCACTGATCCCCAATGTTTGTGTAAATAATGTCCAGTCACTTGAGAGTTTAATCTGTACAAGTCAACAATTCAACAGACTGCAATTGTAGTCTGAAGTAGATTTATACTTTATAATTTCCTTTAACAGTGTTTGAAATGACTCTCAATAGAATTACCTTATTATGCCCCAGAGAGATGACTTATAATGTTCTCTATCATAAAATGATAATGATATCTCTAAAGTAAACCAGAGATATATAAACCACAGATATATGAATGGATTTGGGGCTCACATTTAATTCTAGCCCCAACCTAAGAACAATTCGCTCTTACGACATGGCCTTGCCCAAAGAGATGACTGAGGAGATGGATGCTATAGCAAAGTGTGGTGAAGAAACCAGAGGTTGCCTGGCTACCAGAAAGATCTGGAGTCTTATAGGCTTGTTTTCAAACAAGCAGCCAGCTAAGTGAGGTGTCAACTAAGTCCACATGGAAGAAGCACACCAGCCTGTGTGATCCAAGGAGCCTAACTAATAAAACCCAAACCCAAAGTAGTGAGTGGTATCAGAGCGTAAATTGTGAACACTTTTTAGGCGGCTAGGGATGAGAGTGGAAAGCCAAAATCCATTTACAGTCCCCATGTGGATGAAAGCCTTTGTTGAATCCACTCTGATCATAGTCGAAGGATGTGAATTGCCCTGCCATTAGACCAGCGGTTCTCAACCTGTGGGTCATGACCCCTTTGGGGGGTCGAACAACTTTTTCACAGGGGTCGCCTAAAACCATCGGAAAACACATAAATATTTCACAATATATAATTACATATTGTTCTGCGATTAATCACCATGCTTCAATTATGTTTAATTATGTTCACTCTGTAACAATGAAAATACATCCTGCATATCAAATATTTACGTTACGATTCATAACAGTAGAAAAATTACAGTTATGAAGTAGCAACAAAGATAATTTTATAGTTGGGGATCACCACATGAGGAACAGTAAAGGGTCACAGCATTACGAATTATGGCAGAAGTCGTTAGGTTAAAATGTAATACTTCATTTGATCTTCCATTTGATGCATTTTAAAATTGTTTCCGTTTTTAGTATTTTCTGCTCTCGTTGATTGAGGTTTGTCTATGTGCTGTGCCTAGCCATTGTTGTTGAGTTTCTTTTTGTTTGCTTGTTTCCTGATTGTGTTTTGTCTGGTTTTCTAAATATAAAATCCAGAATAGGTAGACCTACAGAGACAGTCACTGGACAGCGCATGGCAGGAAAGGATGGGTGTAACGGGGAACTAACAACAAATCTGAGAAAACGTTCTGAACTTGGTTATGGTGAAGATTGCTCAAATTCTCTTACGATGATTGAATGATTATAGCATATGACATGTGAAGTATATGCCAATAAAAATATTTTTTTAAATAGTAATGGCCATGAGTGAAGTATGTCCTTTGCAACCACTAGTCCAGGGAGGCGAGGAGGCAGCTGCAGAGGGGTAAAAACTGGCAGCAGTGTCCAGAGCATGAGGCAGAGCCGTGGGTTTCCCTGCCAGCTGAGTCCCAGTAAGTAAAGTTCAGTGAGTGGCTTTGGGCTGGAAGCTCAAGGGCAGAGTATCAATCAATCCCTTGGGTCATTTATCAGCTATCAAGGAGCTTCGGAAACACTGCCCAAGCAGGGCAGAGGCCAAGGGGCCTTGACTGAGGCCAAGGGGCAGCGAGAGAAGTGCCTGAAGGCAAAGCTAATAAGAGATGCTATGACTTGTAACCTGTTAACTTCCCTAACAAACCACAAAATCATGAAAAACACAAAATTTTAAAACACTAATGCCAATCAGACATATCTGTAAACAAATATATATTGGCATTGCTGCCAACTTTCTGTCAGTATTTTCTTTTTACAATACTCCCTTAAGAAGTTTCAGTAGGGAAGATCTTCTAGTAAAAAAGTGATTTTATTTATCCTTGAAGTATCACATTTCATATTTGTTCTTGAAAAATAGCTTTGGTGAGATTACAATTCTAGTTATTTTCTCTCAGCAGTTTGAAGCACATTTTCTCTCGGACTGAAAATTATGGCCAGACAACCCCTGGGCCTCCAGTTGTAGAGGAGACACAGACTTTCTTAGTTCCGGTTCTAAAATTTCCAAGGGGGATTCCTAGCTGGCCCAGCTTGAGTTAGGAGCGCCATCCACCACCAATTAGCTGAAAGCAGATGAAAAACCCTGGTTGGACAGCCATTAAACTGCTAGCCACATAGACAGCAGTTCGAATCCACCAGCCACTTAATGGAAGAAAGGTGTGGCAATCTGCTACTACAAAGATGACATCTTGGAAAGGTTATAGGACAACAGTTCTTCTCTGTCCTGTAGGGTCACTGTGAATGGGAATCTGGTCCAAGCGAGTGGAATACTATGGGCATTCCTACAGTAGCCTCTTGAAGGAAGGCTAGACACAGGCCCCCAAAGTAGGGCACGAGAGCAATTGTGTTGGTGGAAGGAAGCAACAAAATATCTTATCGATACAGAAGGAAAGGATTTAAATAAGATCACCTAAACTTGAAGTCTCTGGAGAGAGCAAACAATTGATGTGCTTGATGTGCTTGGCTGGAGGTTGGAATCTACCCAGGGGTGCCTCAAAAGAAATTCCTGGCGATTGATTTCTGAAAATCAGCCAGTGAAAACTGCATGGAGTATAACACTCTGACACACATCTATTTGCCATGATTTAGAATCAGCTTAAAGGCAATCACTTTCTCTTTTTAAGTTAATGTCTCTAGATTGTGATTTAAAATTCCTACCACATTCCTTCACTGTTTTAAGGGGGGGTCGGGGGTGGGGGGAAGTGTATATACACATTAGGTGGTTGGTGCTTGAAACAGGAGCTTTCTACTCCCATAGTTAGTCTCGAGGAAACCTACAGGGGCAGTTCTACTCTTGTCCTATGGGGGCACTATGAGTCGACAATGACTTGACGGCATTGAGTTTGGGTTTGGTTTTTGGAGGTTTTTTTGGGGGGTGGCCTTGGAACATCCTTTGGGTATACTAAGGAAGGCGTATACAGCAAAAGCTGTGCAAGGTGTAATATTATTTTTCATAAGTGCATTGTGAATTACAGGATAAAGAGCCCTTCATTTCCAGAAAGGACTAACCATTACACCTCAAATCCATCCTCTACACTTCATCCTCACTGCCTGCTGTCCCTGCTGCGAATCCGGACTCGCTCCAGTCCCACCCCACAAGATGGCCAGAGTGACCTTGAAGTTATTCCCCTGCTGAAATCCCTCCGATGGCTCGTCAGTGCAGAGAAGACCTTTCTCCCGCAGGCCTGATATGGTGCCTGGCTGTCACCCTAACCTCATCTTGGACCACTCATCCCTTGTCCTATATTCTAGTGCCATTGTTATCTCAGTACGGGAATGTGCCCAGCATCTTCCAGCCCCAAGGCTCTTGCAAGGGATAGTCTCCCTGCTTGCAACCGTCCCCCAGCCCTTGTTTGCCTCTGCTGCCCAGGGCCCCTTATCAATCTTCAGATGTCAGTTTCAAAGTCACCTCCTTAGAAAAGCATCCTTGACTAAATTTCCTAGTCATTCCCTCGATGTCTGCCTCAGCTCACAAGCCATGAATAGGACCCTAAGAAATTATATGATTTTTCTATCTCAGCTTTTATAACTCCAAATATCTGTTTAGTTCATTTTCATTTTGAACAAAACATGCTTCAATGAAAGCTTTAAAAAATTTTTAATTACATGATACTTTTATCTGCCAATTCAAGCTTCTTTCCATGATCCACGCTAATAGGGATCACATTGCACATAACAGTTGGGCTGCTGCAAGTTGGCTGAAATTAATTTTTTTTCTTCTAAATTATTAGGGAAATAGCGGGGGGAAAATCATGGATAGTGGGATGGACATTGTCGGGGGCACTCTGGAGGGATACTCGTCATACTAGTATCACGTGATCTTTAAAAATGTAACTGAATGTGTGATTTAAAAGCTTAGGCAAAGATCACACACCATGAGATCTGGAGACGTAATGGATTATCCGCTGGGTTGCTAATTGCAAGACCCGCAGTGTGACCCCCACCCACAGCGAAGAAAGAGGAGGCTTTCTGCTCCCACAAAGATTTCTGGTCTTGGACCCTTCCAGGGCCATGCTACACGATTTCACCAGGGTCACTGAGTCAGAGCAACTCCACGATGGGGGGGTTGTTTTCTTGTTACTTGAGGAGGAAGGCAAAAAGCTAACCAATCAGTGGAGAAATGTCTACTCTTTGGGGACTGAATGTCCTCTGAGTGTCTTCACAATCTGGGGTCTTTACTAGTCTGAAGAAGGGGCCATCGGCAAGCAAGAAAACCCAGTAGGATTTCAATACCTCCTGAGCGTCCTTTAACCTAAGGTGTCAGTTAGATAAGAATATGATGGTGTTTAACAGTCACGATCTATCTTGATTTGTATTATCCCATGCAAAAAATGTCTGATATATATACACTTCCAAACAAGCTTAACTTTAATGAAAACATGTTTTTTAATATACAAAGGCTTTATCAAAAGCCTCTATTATGCTTAATTGTTACTCATTTCAGGAAAAAAAATTTGGAAGGTGGTAGGAGATGAAAAGGCATAATTATATAACATTTTATTTTGGTGACAGCTGGGTAGAAAATAATATTTTTTACTCCACAGTTAAAAATCTTCAAATGGACAATATTATAATTAATTTAGAATATTATAATTAATTTAGCCAATCTATATGTCATTTTGATGTTTATGTAGTCATTAATAATGTCTCACCCAAAGTAAAGCATGAAAAATAAGGAAAACCAAAACCGAGAGTTTTCCTGTAACATAAAACTTTCATAAGAATAGTTATGGAACATGGATTTTAATGAATTTCATATTGCAATGAAGACACTGAACATTTAAAAATAATTACATCAATACAATAAAAACTGATTCCACATAAGACTTATAAATGCACACTTTTTCTTCCTAAGAAAGTTATTTTTCACAGACTTAAGCAACAAATGATTTACAAAGAATTCTTCAGATTGTACAAATATGTACAGAATTTAGACTCTACAGAAACTGGTGTGCAGTGGTTGAGAAAATGAATGTTGCTCCATCTGAAACAACGTATCTCAAATGAAATTCTATATACAAATACATCTTTCACTTACCACACATTTTCCTTCCATTATTAAATGAGATTCTGGACAAAACCGTTCCCATTTCAAAACACTATTTCAAATGGTATCACATGTGACAGACAGCATGATGTCATTTTAGTCACACAGAAACACACACACATAAAATCACGATCTCCAATCTCCCTTATAACTTGCTGGAAATAACACCTATGGCTACAAGTAGCAATTAAATAAAATCAAGTTAAAGATGAGATAGTAATTAACGAGAGTCAATATCATCCTGCTCCTGAGAACTCTGCTCTAGCACCATTAGGGTGTGTTCGCCCAATGAAAATGAGTGGAGAGACTCATTTCTGGTGTCAGAGGTTGGTCCCTCTAGTTAGCGGCAGGAAGGGGAGCAGCCGTTGGTAGTGAAGGGTAGTCTGCATAGAACTAAATGGCCATTGTAAATATAGATAGTTTTAAAAGCTTCAAATGTGTTTTAATCTGAGATTTGGCTTTTAAGTTTAATTCCATTATTTATACACTTTTTAAAAAAATGTTCCTAACGATGATTCTAATACCCAAATTTTCCAATTAACTTACAAAATTGAACCTAAGGACATGCTTTTTGCAGTTGAGACTTCAGAAGTCATCTCTACGCTCATCCCTTTGGATCTGCAGTGGACTGAAGGGAGATACGGCAAAAAAAATATTTCATTCAAAGATACAAGCAGGCCACAGCAAATATCCTGCTAATAGTACAGTACTCCTTCAACCAAAATACACCCAGGATAGCGGTGGCTGACAGAAATCCAAATCCATCTTAGTAGCAAGCTTGACTTCAATTCTCAAAAGCACAGTTGGGTGACCATAAAATGTTGGACTTGTGACACACAACACAGCTTAGAGCTTTAAAAATACAATTGCTCCAAAATATTTGTTGCTTGCCCCTTCGTTAGCAACCTTTGCTTTCTATTGGTTCTCTTTGGGTCCCTCGTCCCTTCTAGTCTGAGTGAAGCAGTTCAGGATTATTTGAACACTTTAGCTCCTTAAATGCCTAAGATAAGCTACTACATCACTTAAGCAAAATGCACTGAAAACCAATGCATACACTCTTGATAAGCTCTGCGGAAGGACAGCCTGGAAGATCTATTTAATACATACCTTACCAATTGGCTTCTACCACTGCCCAGCTCCTGTGTACCCCTGTATCAACACAAGACACTAAGAAACACAGGAAAGTGAGGGAGAGGGCCCCATCACAGTTTAAATATTTCTTTCTTATGCATCTCCCAGCAATCAGTCTCCAAATGAACATATCTAAAGGGTTAAAAAGATGAGGGGCAGTATGGTGAGATGTCTCTTTATAGAAACTATAAATCTGTAAGAAACATTAACTGACAAACATCAGAGAAACAGTGATTTCTAAGAAGGCAAGATTAACAGGCTCACTCATGTGGACGTAGGATTGGCACAGACAGGTGCCCTATTAAAGACATGAGAGTCTTGTGACCTATGTGCATGTTCCTTAAGAACCAATTAGCCTAATGAGTGAATCTCTTACTTCAAGATACATTTGGTAAGATTGTCTTTCTTGCCTTCTAAATTGAACCCAATATTCCAGCTAAAAATCAAAAAGTGCTTTAACTAGGCAACAATACATCTCCAAAGTTTTTGAAATACATTTATTTTTGAGGTAGTACTCATTTATTTGCATTGTTGGCTCTCAATACCACCAAGGAAGTGAACCCATCTAGAAACATGCAAACCGAAGGTGTAGAAAATAGGTAAGATTTTGTTCTCAGGTAGCAGGTCCTTCTTTCAAAGGTCAAGTCACATTCAATGGATATGTCGTTTGAAACTTCGATAGACTGTTTATAACCATAGCTATAAACTAAAGTGCTTTAAATTTTGCTTCACTATATTTCAGTGATCAGAATCATTATATTTGAGAACTTGCTAATATGAGACCGCAGGAGATTGAAATGATTTTCTATAAAAAGAGAAAACTTTTTCTATTCAAAAGAAACTCTCCAAATGTTGCAAACTCAACAACTGTATGGTTTTTTTAAAACTTCTAAAATCCACAGTATTTTTACAGAACTGTAATAGAAATTCGAGTTGAAGTTGTATTACATAACAGCACATGCTAAAACTTCAAACAGAAGGTAAACATGAAAGCTTTGCTCATCACTGCCATTCATTAGCCAACTCAAATGTAAGCTCTACAATCTTTTCAATGCAAGGTAGATATGTATAATTATTCCAGAAAATACAACAGACAACTAAATGCCTCATAATAAGTACACGGGTTTCACATTTGATGCGCACAAATGTAATGCCCTACTGTTCATCTGTCGAACTCTGTAGAACTCATGAGCATTTGAAGTGCTACACGGGAAGTGAACTTCATTTCTACTGACCAGAGGCAGTCAATATACAAAAGGTCATACACAAGACAAAAATAAGGAAAAAATATGACCACACATTTTCCTGTACATATCATGCAAACCGGGTACAATATGAACAGAATCTATAACGCACACTTTTCAGGGTCAAGCTCTCACAAACAATGGCAGATTACTATGCAGGAAAGTCTGCAGCAGTTAAAGGTCCATGGCAAATAATGACACAAAGGATATGGGCTCTCTTATTTTTCTTGTAACAAGGCAGGGATGTTTATGTTCCAGCCGATGGCTTGCCTGTCAAACCCACAGGTAAACAGATTGCATACAGGGTGGTCTTCACTCCAAGCCGAGCAGCACACCATCCTCCGGTGGCCCTGTCAGCAAGCAGACAGATAGACAAAGATCAGAGCACTCTTCAGAAAACACCTTCCTCCACAACATTTATAAAAGAGCGACCAACATCACAACTAAAGCACTGAAGCCTACGGGGAAAAGAACAAGGATTAGCACACGTGAACCTCAAGTAAGAATGGCTAGGGGGTTTTAAGCAATGTATTGGTAGGACAGCTTAAACAAAGTGAGACTAAAACACATGGTCGATTTAATACTCATATAAAAATGCTTAAATGATTTAAGAAAGTAAGATTACAGGCAGATAGGAAAAAAATTTTTTGAAACGAGGCAAACTGACACTTAGGGGTAAGTTAAATAAAATCCACTCAAGGATATCAGATATCATTTTAACAAGTAATTGGTTCAGGTAATACAGGGGTTAGAAAAATAGATTAGGTACTTTTCTAAGTCACAATAAATGACTTATCGATTGCTGCCTATGTTAGGAGTCTCAGTTAACTATCAGAGTGTTAGAAGAAATTATCATAAAATATTGGACGCACTTTATAGAGTTAGATGTCTTGTGTGTGTGCGCGCGTGCATGCAAGCAAGCATTTAACATAAAGCTTACATGTGTGTGCACAATGCCTTAAGATTTAATCATATTTCCTTAATATATGATTGTAATATGCTATCTTTATTACATCATTAAATAGAGTACAAGGTTTAGAATTGAGAAAAACTTTAAGAAACTTAGTAAGTAAAAGAAATACTCCAACAAATGGTACAAATTTCCCTAGGAAATCGTTTGAATATGAGTGGTTTCCAAAAGTTGATGGAAAAAATTTAATAAAAAGATAATGGCATTTTCCCATTCACGGCTTGAAGCTCCCTTGTGTAGAGGTTTTTATACATTTAGAGAGAGAATTGTGATAGGCCACAAAAATAAAATTATGGTGAGAAAGGCCACATAACAAAAGGTAATCAGAGTTTTATCACTTTATTAATAACCTAAATAAAAAATAATAAGTTATGCTTTCATTAGTTTAGTTAGGCAGTAAGTCAGGCCTCTGTACAAGAACTATTTGAAAATTAGAAACCCAAGGTATTCATTGTAGAAATACTGAAATCAGCTACTTAATAATGGGGTAGGAGGACAAGAAAATTAGTTTTTTGTTTTGCTTCTTAAAAAGAAAAAAGAGGCAAACAAAAGCTAAACAGTAGCAAACACGGAAGCTTTGGAAAGAAGTAACTTAGTTTTATAATTCAACACTCTCATCTAGTGTCACAGTGTGCTCACAGATCATCATCTGCCTGGAAATAAAAAGGCCCCTCTCACAAACAGACTTTGAAAATGCTCCACACCCTCCTGAGAGAGACACTCGATACATTAGATCTGACGAGCTGCAATAACAAAGCCTGTGTAAGTTTGTTTAACCCTGCATTTCACATGTTTACTGAATCATAAAGCTTTTCATTTTTTCTCTCCTTATAGAGATCTTTGGCCTTGAAACACATTTTTTTTAATGTCACTTATACTTTCCTCAGAATATATCATTTCAAATTAAAGTATGCTGTTAGTCCTATTCACTCTAGCTACCCAAACTTCAAATAAGTGAGGTTTTGTTGTTTTGTCTTGTTGCCTCTTCTAAAATGTTTCTTTTAAAAGAAATTACAAGGACATATGACATATTGCCGGTAATTTCCAGCTGTGGTTTTGTGGCATTGAAAAAGATTTCTCTGAAGAAGTGCTACAAGTTCTAAATGAAGTGAATTCTCATTCGTTAATCTTAAAAAGAAATATATTTTGTGTACTACAACAGAACTCCACAGGTTGAATGCTGAAGGAAAGCAATGAAACAGCCTATGTGGAATTAGAACTACAAATAATAACTATGTTTTCTTAGACAAATATTCTCTACGTAATCATGTCACACAAATTCACGTAAATTTTCATCCCAAATGAAGACATTCAATGTTGCATAGCAATTTACACACAAAGGGACACTTAAGTGGGACTAGTTTGTTGCATTCGAGATGCAGCTTAGATAATAAATACATCGAGGATAGCTGGCAGTTAGCAAAATGTAAAAACACGTTCCCCTGGACAAATCAACGTCTGGCTGTGTCAAGATTTGTTTGTGTATGAAGATCCCCTTGCAGAGGGGTCTCGGGGAGGAGACGAGCCAGTCAGGGTGCAATGTAGCAACGATGAAAAATACAACTTTCCTCTGGTTCCTAAATGCTTCCTCCCCGCACCCACTATCATGACCCGAATTCTACCTTGCAAGTCTGGCTAGACCAGAGGATGTACACTGGTACAGATAGGAACTGGAAACACAGGGAATCCAGGGCGGATGATCCCTTCAGGACCAGTGGTGTGAGTGGCGATACTGGGAGGGTAGAGGGAAAGTGGGTTGGAAAGAGGGAACTGATTACAAGGAACTGTATGTGACCTCCTCCCTGGGGGACGAACAACAGAAAAGTGGGTGAAGGGAGACATCGGACAGTGCAAGATATAACAAAATAATTTATAAATTATCAAGGGTTCATGAGGGAGGGGCAAGCAGGGAGGGAGTGAAAAAATGAGGACCTGATGCCAGGGGCTTTAGTGGAGAGCAAATGTTTTGAGAATGAGGAGGGCAATGAATGTCCAAATGTGCTTTACACAATTGATGTATGTATGGATTGTGAGAAGAGTTGTATGAGCCCCTAATAAAACGATTAAAAAATTTAAAAAGAAGATTTGTTTGTGTAAAGGTTTTTAGTCTCTTAAAGTAATTTCACAAGCAAGTTTTCTCTGACGTAAACTTGAATAAAAATGTTATTAACTTTTAGCAGTGCACTTAAGAACTATTTGTCTTAAGAGAAGAGTGGCTGCAGTAGCCTTTCATCTTAGGATGGTGCGTTTTCCGGAAGCTGATGTCATTTAAAATGTTCCTATCTATGTAGGTGACAAATCGATGCACCTAACTATCTTTGGCCTATAGTTTTGAAGGACAAATAAATTGCAGAACTACGAAATGTACTTTGGAACCTTACGTAGTGAAATTACAACTGGTGGGACAGAATATATAAGACCCTGGCGCTGGCAGAGAAAGGCGAAGCCAGCTCCCAGAGACCCTAGCGGGCAGGGAGAACAGCCCCTGTGGGTTTCTAAGACTGTAACTCTTTACTGGAGTAGAAAGTCTCTTCTTTCTCCTGAGGAGTGCCTGGTGGTTTCGAACTGCTGACCATGAGGTTGGCAGCCTAACACATACCACTAGGCACCTGGCACTGGTAGAGAACGGTGTATTAAAAATAATGCAGAAAAGTCATTGGTCAAACATATATACTACAACACACACACACACACAGACTGGTGAGATGGGGGGTGCATTCATTTAAAAAGAAAATAAATTATTGGTTTTGCATCACATAGCTCTTAAGACATTAAAAGAAGATAGAAGGAAAAAAGAGAAAAGAGTGATCATGTTGTGAGAGTCAATTATATGCAAAAATATGGAGAATCGCTGCCTTGACAACAGGAGGTGTTTTTATTAAATGTACACCGATTAGCTGTCAATGGAAAAAGCTAATCAATTCATGTACTCTAGGATTTGGGCTCTCAAACTACAAAGTTCAGCAGACTCAGCCAAGGATTTACGGAAAATGCAGGTTCCCAGGGAACATCTTCAGAAATCCTGATTCAATAGATCTGAGTGGAGTCCAAGAAATCAGAATTCGTATCAAGCATTCTGGGTCATTCTGATGAGGATGGTCTAAAAATCTATGAGAAATACTGACCTAATGTATAATAAGGCTAGCTCTCCTACATTACATCTTCTAAAGCAGTGGTTCTCAACCTTCCTAATGCCACAACCTTTTAATACAGTTCCTCATGTGGTGACCCCCAACTATAAAATTATTTTCATTGCTACTTCATAACTGTAATTTTGCTACTGTTATGCATCATAATGTAAATATCTGATATGCAGGATGTATTAGGTGACCCCTGTGATAGGGTCGTTCAGCCCCCAAAGGGGTAGAGACCCACAGGTTGAGAACCGCTGCTCTAAAGAATACATATTTTAATGAGGAGCAATCCCTAATTCATATGAAAACAGCTTTTAAATGGAATTCCTTTCAGTCAGTAACATCCTGAAAGAAAACTGTTTGATAGGGGTAGAGGCAGGGATCCTTCTTAAAGAGTTGAGCTAACACCCATCTATGCATAACATTGGTCCTACTTTATTAGATTAAATATTTAATATACATACTTCCAATTCACTTGAAGGTATCTAAAGACTGCTTTTCTAAGGCTTATAAACAAAAATAACTCTGTTACCTGTCTATTGCTTCGAGGAAGCCTCGCTAATCGCACTCCTGACATATCAAATAATCTAACTTGTCGGTTGTCATGTGGAAGGGCAATGATCTTTTGGCCAACACATACATTAATCCTGCAAAAAACAGATATGAGTGGGTTATCCTTAAAATAGGAGCAACAAAAGTTTTTGAAATTACAGCTAACAATTCAATTGGTTATTTAATATTATTCATATTTCAAGGCAAAATACGTAATCAAATTACCATCTGACATTGGAATGAAAAGAGAAATCAAATAAAAGAATGCTTTTATGTAACTGCAAGATACATACAATCACATTATAGACATACATTTTTTACTCAAAGGTAATTACAGATCCACAGCATCAGAACCAGATCATCAATACCCACTAAGTAAAACAAAAACCCTACAAAATATGGCCAAATATGGCTTGTTCTTACCAGCCTAGCATACCTGCCTGATTTTACACTTAATCACTGATTTTGCACTAGAAGATCAATAGGACATATTTTCCTAGGACTTCAACCACTTTTCCCAAGATGGAATCAATTAAGCACGCAATTTACATAAATAAAATTGCGTTGCTTTAGGTCTATTGAAGTAAAATGCTTTGTGTGTAATAATGAGCCTCGTTTTACCTGTTAATGGCAGAGTCTGTGCGGATAGTTGCAATTGGGGATCTCATATTTTTTAAATCCCAAACTTTCACAGTGCGGTCATCACTGCCTGAGACAACATTATCTCCGACAGTAAACACAGCAGAGGTCACAGTGCTGGAAAGAAGACACAACAAGAGTCAGAAACCTGGAAAGTAAAATTCCAGTATGGTAACAGCAAATACTCTCAACAATCATAATAAACTCCATGATGTTTTCAGGAATTCTGGCAAGGTAGTCGCAAACAATTCTATAAATGATTCTTAGCCGCTTAAAAGTTCTCCTTACATTTGCAAAATAAATCTTTCTACTTGAGCAAAGGCTGTGCGGTGGGTTTTGTGGTAGGCTGCTAACGCAAAGTCAGGGTTAGAATCCGCCAGCCACTCTGGGAGAGGAGGCATTGCCTGTTTTCTCCCTGCTCCCACTACCATGACTCGAATTCAACCTTGCAAGTCTGGCTAGACCAGAGGATGTACACTGGTACAGATAGGAACTGGACATATAGGGAATCCAGGGTGGATGAGCCCTACAGGACCAGTGGTGTGAGTGGCGAAACAGGGAGGGTAAAGGGAGAGTGGGTAGGAAAGAGGGAACCGATTACAAGGAACTATAGGTTACCTCCTCCCTGGGGGACGGACAACAGAAAAGTGGGTGAAGGGAGACGTTGGACAGGGCAAGATATAACAAAATAACAATTTATAAACTATCAAGGGCTCATGAGGGAGGGGGGAGCGGGGAGAGAGGGGGAAAATGAGGACCTAATGCCAGGGGTTTAAGTGGAGAAGAAATGTCTTGAGAATGATGAAGGCAATGAATGTACAAATGCGCTTTACACAACTGATGTGTGTATGGATTGTGATAAGAGTTGTATGAGCCCCTACTAAAAATGATTTAAAAAAAAGAGTGAGTCCCCATAAAGAAAGATGTACAGCCTCCGAACTGCAAGGACTTCACCTCTGTCCTGTCCAGTTGCTATGAATTGGAATCAATACCTGGCAGTGAGTTTCAGTCAGTTGGGTGCACTGGCAATTGTTAATGAAAAGAATGTAAAACAATAAAATAAAATAAATAAATAAAAAGAATGTGATAAGTAACAATTTTTCAATGAATTGAGAATTAGAGTATCTTATTTGATCACATATCCTTTAAAATATGATCCACAGTGTCATGAATAAGTATGTAAAGATTCAGTGGTGTATTTTTTACTTTAGCTTAATTTTATTATTGCATTAATGTTGGTTAACGATGCAGAAAAATTCTCATTTTATTCATTCATTTATTCAATAGCTTTAACAGGACTTAATTTCTGCATAGCAGAAATTAATAACAAATCTTGCCGTAACTGATTCATCTGTAAAGACATTACATGATTTTTAGGCCAGAGTTGGCATTTAAAATTTACCAAAATTACAGGCCAGGCCAGTAGTTTCTCAGAGAGACATTGTTCGTTACCTTACTTCCATAACTGTAACTCATGGCCAAAAAAATTATGGTTACTAACTTTACAGAGAGACTTAAAACTCTTCTCCATGCTCATCTAAGCTATTTAAATAATCCCACAAGACTACCAGCATGTAAATTTCCACCTATCAATGCAAAGTTATATCCTTTTCTTATCTTCACAAATCATTAATTTAAATGGGCAAAAGCTTGGTTTCTACATACTTAATTTACTGATATCTACTCTAACTGGGGTCATGTACATTAATTGCTTGGAATATAGTAATTCTAATTTAAAATGTCAGTTGTTCCTGTCACTGAAGCTGTACTGGAAGAATTTTATTTCATGTTCTATGCAAACTACTTATTACGATTAGCACTATCTAGTCACCATGCGTAGCCCCATTTATAAAAGCCCTCTTAATTCAAATGGACATCGAATTACGTTCTAATTAAAACCAAGCTCCACTGCATTCACACAAACTTTTTAAAAAATATTAGACCCGAGCTCGGCAAAGCTACTAAAGAAAAGATGGGACACCAGAATCGTGGAATTTCAACTGTGCTTCTGAGCCAACATATAAATTAGGTGTTGCTAGCCTCAAGGTCAGCAGTTCAAATGCACCAGCCACTCTTCGAGAGAAAAGGCAACAATTTGTACTTCGTAATGAGTTAGTCCAGGAAACCCACAGGGGCACTTCTACCTTACACTATAGGGTCTCTATGAGTCAGAACCCACTCAATGGCAATGAGTTTAGTTTATACCTTCCATGCAGAGGTTATAAGGTTTAAAGAACTGAAACTATCAGTAAAACTTTGAAAAGCATAAAGCTTAACTGCCTGTTGACTTCTGGACTGTAGCCTTCAGGAGGCCTAGTCAAGCTAAATTTCAGGTAACATTCTGCTACATTAATGGAAAAAGTGTCAACAAAGGATCGTCTAAACCCTATGTTAATGAAATGCTAAAAGACATTAGGTTTTTAATAAATCACAATCTTGACAGGTATTGTAGGACATCAAAAGAAAAAAAAAATGGCAACGAGGCAGTAGCTTTAAAGGTACCCTTAGACCATGGGGTCCCACAGGGAATGTGGTGTGCTACTAGTGCTCATTGGAAAAGCTTCAGACTATGCCAAACCACAGCAAAACTCATTTATCTTGTCGTAGGGAGCAGCCGAGCATGTACTTCCAGCTGACAGCATGGCACCTTCTCACCACACACCACTGCCTGATCTGGAACATTCTGCTCCCTCCGTGGGTCTCAATCAATGCAAATACTGTAATGCTAGCACTCCTCATTAGGAGTAACAGCTGTCTTCCCAGTCACACAGAGACACAAAACTGTTTTGCATAACAATCTGCTGAAATTTCACGGCTAAGAAAAAAAATATATGATGTGGAAAATGCTGGACCATGAAATGCTGATGCAGTGTGCTTTCCTGGCACCACATCAAAAATTGACTATAGAGTTTCCATTTCTTATTTTTAAAGTGTAACTTCCTGCAAAATAAAGTAATATTTTTTATATTTGAAGAACAGACCAGTTTGTTCACAGAAGAGCAAGCACTCTCTAAGTAGAAAATGACCCAAGAGCATGGAGTCTCCCTTCCTAAGAACACAGACTGTATCTCTTCAAATTATACACCAAACTCCTACTTAGAAAGAGAATCATTGTTGCTTCATTACAGGGGCCAGTCAACTACTCAATTATGTTACGTTATTAATATAAAACTTCAAGTAAGATGTCTGTGGCCCAAGAGATCCAGAAATTAAAAACAGACCATTATTTGGCATTCATTAGTAATCAAAATACATTCTTAGAAGCCAAATCAGAATTTACTAACGCCCTTATATATAAGAACATCATGCAATTTAAAACTTGTCATAATTGCTTTCTTTTTTTTTATTTATTTAATCATTTTATTGGGGGCTCATACAACTCTTTTTTTTCTTTTAATCAATTTATTGGGGCTCATACAATTCATCACAATACATAGATCAATTGTATAAAGCACATCTATACATTTGTTGCCCTCATTATTCCCAAAATTCGCTTGCCTCTTGGGTTCCCGGAATTGCTTTCTTATGTACAATCAGATGACCAGATTTTCTCTCAACTATTGTTTTCCAAGATCCTTTTAAAAATTAAACTTTTGAAAGATCACACAAGACCTCAATAGCCAAGTAGCCTAAATGAAAATGATGCTCTAGGCTCTTTTGCCTTTCTTAAAGTGAACCTTAAAATAAATACAATACGTCCAAATTTGTATCCCACGTGAGTCCTTTTCAGTATTTAAAATTCAAGACTTCCTTGGGAAAAAACTTGCTAATTTTCCAAAAGTTACAGCATGATCTCAATAATTTCACTTGAATCCACCCTAGTGTCTTAATGTTCCTGTTCAGAAGTAACTGAGCAACTTTCTACATAAATTATTGGGAGATTTTAAGTATAAACTTATTAATTCAATAAAGCTGTATGAAGCACCTACTATGTGCTAAGAAAGATGTCCTCATGGCAAAGTGGCACAATGGGCTGCTGACCACAAAGTTAGGAGGGGGAAATCCCCAGGCGCCCCTCAGGAAAAGATGAGGCTTCTATGAATCAGAACTAAGTCCATGGCAGTGAGGGGGTTGTGTTGATTTGGGATTAAGAGGAAGAATCCACAGACACCAGAGGAGCATCAGTGGATGCCACACGTGGGCAAAGGAGGAGAACATAACTCCAATTCACCTTCTGAAAATACAGAATTAGTTACTACCACTCAACTGATAACTTATTTTTCTTTTTCTCATATAAATATGAGATATGTGGAATACATGTAGCCGAGTAACTGCCTGGTCTTTTATGACCGCTGGCAGGGGTGCTGTATGCCTCAGTATGCCAACACTCAACAGATGAGATCACTGGATGAAATGAGAGGGGAAAAATCATCTCTGTCCTGGGAAGCCATGCGTGCACTGTCACAAACAGGGACTTATAGTCGCCTGACAAGAGAATCCGATCTAGTCTGTTATAGCATGAATGGGGTGGGAGAACAGAAATTATGAAATATTACAATAGGGAAGGGTTTTTTAGTTCTTATGATTAAACATTGGCCACAAGAAAGCCCATAACGCTGCGGCTCTCACTGTTGCCCACGAGCCAATTCTGACACCTGGTGGACTCATATGTGCAGAGCCTAACTACTACAAACGATTTTCCAGACTTTGACCTTTCAGAAACAGATCATGAGGCCTGTTTTCCAAGGTGCGAATGGGTGGATTTGAACCCGCAACCTTTTAGCTGTTCGTGCCAGCTGGGGGATCACTCCTGTAAGCTAAGGTTCCAATAGTATAACACACGACTCACTGAAACCAAGAAACTCTCAAGTTATGTTGTCCTCGCCCCTTTCTGCATTTCTCAAGGACCCACCCCATGGAGTCCACAATACTAATCAAAAAGGAAATGCCCTAAGAGGACCACTGTTTGCTTAGCATGTAAATAAAAAGATCACAGTCTAGCCCACACTCAAATTCCAAAGTCGGCTCAACTTGCACAGCAATCACTGCAATTACACCGCTGCCCACGTCCTCAATTCCCTCAGTCCCTTTCGTGCTCGGTTTTTATTCACTTGGCAAAACCACAAACTAATTAAATCCAACTCTTCGCTTACTGGATCCATGCTTACACTTACTTG